GGCCTAAGGTCTTCATTCCCACAGTCCCTGCTTTGGCCTTCCAAGATTTGGGTGGTGAGGTCTGAGCATTTGCTAGTGAAGACTGAGGCAAAGAAGTCATTAAGAACCCCAGCCTTCTCCAAAGCCAGGGTAGCCAGTTCTCCCATAGCTTCTGGAGAGGGCCCACATTGTCCCTAGTCTGTCTTTTATTTGCTACGTACCTATAGAAGCCTTTCCTGTTATTTTTAACCTTTCATGTTATTTAATTTAAATATATGTCAGCAGTCACATGGCAGGCCTCCGTGTCTTTGAACACTTCAAAAAATCACAAAAGGTGGAAGCTTACCCCTAAGAATTTACTAATAGAGACTTGCCAGAACCAAAACCAGACACACAAGCTAACTGTTCCCAAAGAATGTGCAAAAATGATCCCTAATTCTTTGTTAATGAGTACTTCGGATTATTTTTTCCAGACAGAAAGCACGTTGAAGAGAAAAGACTGGTACTGCCACTGCATTCTATACACTTCATGTTCCTAAGTTTATTTAGAAAGGCATTAAAGATGTTTTTTCTACATATATACTTTCTTGACAGTTGACTGCTAGCAATTTAAGTTTCTGGCCCACTGCAAATCCAGTAACTGAACACTATCAGGTGTCAGCACAGAACAGTTAGTGTATTTACTCATTTTTTTTTCAAGTCAATAACTTTCTGCATCATAACAACAACAATCAGTATTTCTGTATTTGCAGTCTTAACACAGGGACAGGGCATGAATAAGCACTGAAAAGCCACTTGAGAAAATGCTGCTTTTTTTCATGACCCATTCTGCAGCTGCTCTATGCAACACTGCTTTAATTGCCAAGCTTGCATTTGAATTTAAAAGCAGCCTTCAATTAATTCCTCCCTTCTACGAACCCTCTAGAGGGAGGGTTTCTCTAAAAGGAAAATGTAATCTTGAAGTATCAGATATACAAGATATACAAAAACCATGCATATCAAACGCAAAGTGTATCAACTAAAAAAGCACAGAGACAGAGCTTATTCTGGACAAGGAAGTAAAAATACACATTTTGTATACCTGCTGTTTAAGCCACTCACTATTATCTAAGTCAAATTTACATTCTCTTTGCTTTACTCCATGACAAACACTTCAACAGGATATGAAGAAAGTTGGAAGGCAAAAGTTTCAAAAGTTTGGCTGATAGTAAAAAAATTTATTCTGGGTTCTCTGTTACATACTAGGAAACCTAAAGGAAGAGTCACATGTGTTTGGTTTAGGAGCCCACTGCATATTAGTGGCATCACAGAGGAATCAGGATAAGATCCCAGAACAGAAGCAGAAAGGAAATGATCCAGGGGAAGGGTACTTCACTGTTTTCTGGCAAATATTGTTAAGCGTTACTTGCATTTGCATTTTACTTTTGTTTTCATCACCACAAAAATCTTTTAGCAGATAAAAACACATCCTATAAACAGGATGTTTATGAAGGTCTTAAGATACTTTAGGAATGGAAAAGCTATCAGTAAATAATTTTGTCAATACCTGATCCAGAGGAACATGTTTCACTAAACCACTGACAACAGTCCTTGGGCTTGCTTCACCAACATCCACTTCTTCAACATACAGAGAGTCTGCATCTGGATGCTTTTTGGCAGTGATAATGCAGCCAACACGAAGATCCAGACGAGAAACATCTACAGGTTTACTTTCAGCAGCTGGCTGCTGTTTCTTCTCCTTCTTGTCACCTATTAGAGAAAGTTTAGTTCATGAAATAAACATTTAAAAAAGCATAAATAATGTACATGACTATTGTAAGGGAAAGCGAGGTACAATCTCAGAAATAAGTGTAAGTGCAAAACACAAATGAAGAGTAAAGAGTTAGCACCTTTATTACTAGTTTCCAGTGGAGAATCACACAATCCTTGAAAGGCTAGGGTTGGAAGGGACCTTAAAGATTATGCAGTTCCAACGCCCTGCCACAGGCAGGGAAACCTTCCAATAGACCAGGGTTGCTCAAAGCCCTATCCAACCTGGCCTTGAACACTGCCAGGGATGGGGCAGCCGCTGCTTCTCTGGACAACCTGTGCCAGGGTCTCATCACCCTCATAGTAAGTATTTTTTTAATTAATATCCAATCTACATCTCATTTTTGTCCTGTCATCTCATGCCCTACTAAAAGGTCCCTCTCCATATTTTTTGTAGGCTCCCTGTATGTATTAGAAGTCTCCCCAGAGCCTTCTCTTCTCCAAATTTAACCACCCCAATTCTCTGAGCCTCTCTTCAAGAGCGACCCTTCAAGATGAAGTTAGCTAACGTTCTTCACTGGCCAAATACACTAGTGTGCAAAAATGCTCATGGCTTACGAGGTTCCACTGATGCAGTCTTTATTCTATGGCAGTGCAAGGGTTTATTATTACCTATACATACTACATAGTATAAAACATCAACAAAGCAACACTCCCCATACTTAGCTGCTTATTTAGATATTCTTTTCAAGATGAGCAAGCTACGCCCGGTTTGTATATAAGACTGTCCTGTTTAAAAGACATTCAAGATTTGCATAACAACTATAACCTCTGTGGGACTAAGACACATCTAAGAAAACTTACTTAAAATAAGCATATTCTGTTATTCCTTCATCCAAGATAGCTTACTCATTAATGCAAACTAAACTCCCTCTTTTAGGGACCAAAAAAGGAAAAAGTGGACACAGCATGTAATTTTTCACTATCTTTGCTCTAGCAGAAGCTTGAAATTACACAATACATTCAGAAAAATACTGCCTTTTTATTGTTAACATAAGCAGTAGCTCTTTAAAAATATTTCAGATCATATATGATGAATAAAAAGCTCTGGTGTTTATGACTGGGGTTTATTAATCTAATTGTAATGTAATTAAGATTAATAAAACCAGTCATATTAATAATAATTGAAAAGAAACTGAAAAAAAAATACCACCAAAACACTTACAAATTAATGTCTAAGATAATTTCAAAAGACCTCCTATCTTTATCCTTATTCTTCACTGTTCTCCACTTCATGACATTTCTCTATAACACACAACTGGGAGGAGTGGCTGACAGGCCAAAGGGTCATTGCTGCCCTCCAGAGGGAACTGAGTAGGCTGGTGAAATGGGCTGACAGAGACCTCACTGGGAAGTGCTCAAGGCCAGGCTGGACAGGGCCTTTAGCAACCTGGTCTAATGGGAGGCCTCCCTGCCCATGGAAGGGGTGTTGGAACCAGATGATCTTAAGGTCCTTTCCAACCCAAACCATTCTACGATTCTATGATAATAACCTGGAGCCAAAAAAATCCCCTTCTAGCACCCTATTTATTTCACTTTAGAGAAACATAGTCTGTTACCGAATAAGGAAAAGAACAAAGCATGTCTGTACATAGCATATACATATAGATGTGCGGAAAACATCAATTTCAGCGCTGCAGGCTAAGGAGAGAACAGCACTTCTCTGGCTTGTGTTGGCATCAGCCCAGGATCAACATCCAGAGAAGCCTCATAGATGAGGTTTGCAAGAAGTTGAACAAAGACAGTGGGAATAACCAGAGAGGAAACAGATGAGATGGGTGACAGAAAGCAAAGGGATTTGAGATATTCCATAATTTCATCAATTTCAAGACTGCAAAACAAATTTTATTAGTTACTTTGATTTTTAAATTCTATACCTACAACAGATGGTGAACTGCCCAGAAATAACCTGTTCAGGGCTACTATTTAATGTTCATACTATATTTCGCCTTTTTCCAAATACAGTCACTGGAAGGAAAAAGCCAAATAGACTTCTTTCCAAATTTAAGCTACTTATGCAAAATGAGAGGAAACACAATACAAGAAAGTTTTATTTTTCCTTACCAATTACAGGCTTGCTCTGTAGCCACTGAATACTTGAAGAAAACAGTTAATTGCCTGATACGACATATGGCCTCTGCTTTTATATTTACAGCCCTGTGGAATATTGATGTGTCAAAGGCTGCAGTATATCAAAAGAAATGAAGAAGCTTATAAGTCTGCACATAGCTCACCAGAAAAATCAGAGACACAGTGCCCTATCAGAATAATATCCAAACTGTGAAAAGCTGTACAAATCAATTCATAGCTAGGAAATAACAACTTGCCTAAGAGAATGATTGTAAAACATCAGATTAAGTTACAAAGATAGACATCTGTACTTTTGTGCAACTGTAAGACACATCTTTTCTTCTATCAAGAGAGTTGGTTAAACAAAAGTCAATACAGACAGCTAAAAAAGAAAAGGAGGAGGAAAGGTGTTAGGAAGACTACACACTCTTCTCCTACATTTACTCCCTGTTGCCAAAACCAGATTATGCTACCTGCCTATGTGCATACCCCAGTACACTTAGTCTTAACCACAATTTCACCAGTGCTGACATGGATGTATCTGATCTAATGGAACTTTACTACGTGTAAGAATTTTCCAGGAATAATAAAAAAAAACAAACCCAAAACCACCACCACAAAAAAAAAAAAACCTCTAAAAAAACCCAAACAACAAACAAACAAATGAAAATCTAAACCAGCATACTTTTCACTCTTCCTTTAGTATTACATTATGCTACTACTGTTTGCTGAGCTGGTCTTCACCTTTTGCTTGTACTGCTTCCATGGCACAAAAAAATTCTAACTAAGCCTCAAAAAAGAAAGCCATACAGTCTGCCAAACTTCTCTAAATTTTGTGTCCTCGTCTTCATCCCACTGCCCCCTTTTACTATCCTCCCCTTTGTGTGTGTATTCTGATTTTGCTTTTTTCTCCTGTGGGGTATTTGGGTGCTTTCTGGGATGGTTTGTTTTTTTGTTATTATTTGTTTTAAAAAAGGGAGTTCAGTCACATTAAAAGAAATTTGGTATGTATCCCATGTAATTCAGAATCTGCAGCTTACTTGACAGCCTTCACTAACTTCAAGTACTTCCAAGACTTAAGAGCTAGCACATGACTCTTCCTCCTGTGGCTGTAGAAACTGTTTTTTTCTGTACTCAAAATGATATAAAAATACTTGCATAAATTAAATGCCTCAACTGTCTATCACAGCTAAGAAAAATGAAGTACCTTTTTTTTCTACTTTTTCCTTCTTTTTCTTTTCTTCATCTTCACCTTTAATTTCACCTTTGGAACCAGTAGATGACGTGACTGCTGTAGTTTGTGGAACATCATCTGAAAATGAAGCTGTAGAAACGATTGTACCAGGAGGAACTGCGATCTGTTTTACTAAAATCAAAACCATAGAAGTTAGAAGGACGACCAGAACTTTGAACACTGACATTTTAAGTTTCTGACAAAAGTGAAAAAGTAGAGAGAACTGAGAATTTTGCTTAAAATACCTACACATCACAACTGCTGGATAGTGAAGCACAACATTATGAAACACATTTCAGAATTCAATCTATATAAAATTACTCTGATCAGTTAAGAACAATGCCTTTGGACTGTGTTTGTCTGATTTCTGTGCTCAACTACGTAATTCTGTCAAAATAGCATATACTAACATACTTAAAAAAAAATTAAAAAAAATCTTAATTTAGTCCTGCACCTTTTAGATAAAACAGCTAACTAAAGCTGGTTTTCCCATCCTGGAAAAAAAATAACCCTTGAGACCTCTCTCAAGCGTAACAAATTCTGTGAAATATCCTATACCTGTCAAGAATTGCTGCAGAGTAACAACAATGGAGAAATATAAACTAATGTTTTGGTTTAGTAGATAACAGGGCTTCATTCACACCTAAATGAGGAAAGTATTTCTCTGCATTTATACAATGCTAATCTCTTTGAAGACTGCATGCGTTGTTTTACCAGATAAAACATTCAGTACAGTTGAATGCTAGCATCCAGCTAAATGGGATTCCATTTCTGACAGCATGGGTAAAAATAGTAATAGCTGTTGACGGTAGAAGAGGCTTTCTTTTAAAATAATTTTAAACAAAACATGCAGGATCTGAAACACTTCAGTTTTGTTTTTTCTCTTTTCTTTTTACTATGAATTATATAAAGATGGTGCAAGCTGAACAGAGTTACACAGACGAGTGCAAAGAAGGAAAAAATGCAATGAAAGGCTGGTCTTACTAAAGTATGGAACCAAAAATTCAAAACACATTGTTTCTAATTTTACATTACCACAGATTTTCTAATAGGTCACTGCCTATCAGTACTTTGAACTATAGCTTGATTTTTCTAAAGGGATTTTTCAGTCATGACAGATTAAAAACTCATGAGCATTATCAAGTGTCAGACATTCAGCAATTTCTAAGGTATTATAAGAAGTCATTGTCACCAGTCAAATTCATGGCTAATTATGAAAGTCACTGTATAAAATCATACAGAAAACCAGTTCAATGTCTGATTAAAGTTTGGCATGTTAGGCTTGCACCTACTAAAATGTTGGAATTAAGTAACTTGTCATAGGCATGGAACCTAGGAAAATCTAGAATTTGTAAGAAGTGCCATAGAGTCACATAGAGAAAGATAAATATGAAGATAGTTTGATCATATTTTGTGCTAAATAGATCTATGTTGTATGAGGACAGGACTCTTCCCCCACCTCCATTTCGAATTTCTGCCTGAATCAGCTCCTGTTTCAGCCCTTCAATTTCTTTCTTCAGTTTAGCATTTTCCACACGGAGCTTCTTCTCTTCTCGGAGAGATGCCTGCAAGACTAGAGGTTTCAATCATTAGGATTCAATCATTAGGATTCACAATTTGGCAAACAGAGGGCTTGGGTATTTTTGTTGGTTTTTTTTTTAAGAAAAAAGTGAAACACAGCAAGCAAAACAACAAAACAGTGGAAGCTTTCAAGGAGTATATAATCAGAAATATTTTGTAATCCTTTTTTGTTGAAATAGCCATTTTTCACAATACTTATGTACTGAAGTTGCCTCTCGATATACTACCTTCAGTCCCCTAAACAGACTCACAAGAAAAAAAATCCAAGAAACCTCTCTGAAAAAGCTTGTTCACGTTTACAATACAGAGCACACCTTAATTCATTGATACCTATGTAAAAGTTGAAGGTATGATACTCTTGAGAGAATCCCAGTGGTGACAAAGCAGTAACACATTCAGGCAAATGTATAGCCTCACATTGTTCCTGACTCCCTTTCTCCCCCCAGATAGAATTGTATCCTATTGAATTTCCATTATCTGTTTGTGTCAGTAATCCTTCCTCATCCGTGCCTTTTCAACTTCAGAATAAGCAGCTTCAAAAAAACCCACAAACCACAAGACAGTGAAGCAGTGCTACGATTACAATCTTTATCTTGGAAAACTTGAATCGCACTTAAAAGGCTGACAACACCAGTGAAGTTGTCCATGTTCTCATTTTTTTCTACAAGGACTTAACCATCTGGTTAACGAGTTTATCATAAGATAGATAATTCCTTACTAGCTTTCTCCTTGAGCAGAGCAACTTGTTGCTTGAGGTATTCAATAAGTTGATCGGCCTCTGCACCCTTCTGCTCCAGTCTGTTCAGCACTGCATTGCTGGTTGCCATCTTTACCAAGAAATGGGCTAAAAACCTAGACAAACAACAGACAGTCTAAAATTAATGACTTCTTAATGTAATAATGCTACCATCTCTCACCTAAATTCAGGTGCTGGATAAAGAAATTTGCTAACTGAAAAAGTTGGGCTCCCACCTCCTAATGCAAGCCCAAACAAAAAGCAATGTTGAACAGAATCTGTGTTTGGCAGCTGCTTTCAAGTATTTTGGAAGAAAAGCTACATTTCTTCCCAGCTGCAGAAAACATGTTCTTCCTTCATGAAACAGAAAAAATTCCACCTTCTCAGAAAGCTCTGAATAAATCAGGGGAAAGGGAGGAAGGAAATAAAAGAGAAAAGGCTGGACAGCAGAATACTGTGTCCTGGTTTCAGCTGAATAATTTATTAACTGTATGCAGAATTTTATTGAGACAAAGAAAATAGAAACATCCCACAAAAATTTCCAAACTTTTCAAATAAATTTATTCTGAATATACTGAATACTTCACATACTGTGGTTATGCCTACATTAAGAACTCCTGTTATTTTACTTTTAAGCAGAATTCATCAGTATTTTTACTCATCTCAGGCTGATACAACTTTTACTGCAGGTTTACACCTTCAGAGTTATTTTAGCACTGATTTCAATTGTCTTATTTTGTTTCCAGTAGAATGAAAGGCTCGGCACATAGGTAACAAATTAAAGAAGCAGGAAACACAGAAGGCCGGTAAAGACAAGAGCACAAATAAATGCTGTCCAACCTTCTTTTAGGATATTCAACTCCTTTTACTGGGTTTCTCTAATGTTCCAGAAACTAGCTATGCCTTGTATACAGCCCATATTTCTTGAAAGCTACCATATTTGGCCTACTTCCTTCTCTGCAAGATTTGTGTCTAACCATAAAAGCTTGTGTAGTATCAACAGAATGATGGAATACAGTCGCTTGTATATGCAGCGGATCCTTTATTGGTATCTGGATGAACAAAGAAACTGTACTAAAAACTGACACATCTTTAAATCAAGAAAACTGATTATAGGTGGGAAGAAAAGACACCTTGCAGATCTTCACTAGCAACAGTGATATAATTCCTGTGAATTTGCCCATCAATTGCAACAACGGGAAGAACTGCTAAGAAAATGGTAATCCAGATGCATGCAATTGGCTCCTCAACCTTATCAAAGCCCAAGAATGCCTTTTCCCATATCAAAGCAGAAGAAAACTTCCCATTTTATTGCAAGATTATTCCGACACTGTAACCTATATCTGTTATTAACATACCAATATGCTCTGTTAGGAATTGCGACAAAAGCCATGCTGAAAACAAAACAGGTTTAGAAATAACTCAAAGGTGAACATATAAAATCGCATTCGTGCCAGTGTCAACATATCATCTTATTGCACTCTCAGTATCAACTTATATTTGATATCTGATCTTCTGTTACAAAGAACTTAATTCTCCATAGCTATAGCTATTAAAAAAAACCAAATAAACAAACAAAAAAAAAAGGCAGAAGACAATGAATAAACACAGTCTAATTAAAAGTTCCCAAAACAAAATTCATAATGCCAGAGAGAGATACAGTAGTTAGACGATGCATGGGGTATACCGCTCCTGCACAAGAGATGAATGAACCAACATCTTGACTCATTTGCAATCTAATACAATCACAGTCTGTCTTACACACACTGTTTCACTTAAAGATGCAAGAGCATTACTGCCATCACACCTTCCACAACAGATTTTTCTTTCAAAAGGAAAAGACTCTCAGGGAGAGAAGAGCAGCAAAATAATCTCACTGGGACAACTAAATTAATTTTAACATTCAAATTAATCTCTGCTATTAAGAAAATAATTCTTGTTTCATGTGCAGTTTGAAAACAGAGGGTTTTAAAAAGGAAAGTTATTCTAATAAGTTACTGATTCAGTTGTCAAATGGAAATGGACATAAAACTATTATGGCACAAACAGCATAATACAAAGCCTGGGGTATTACTGTCTGCATACCAGTCAGATGTCTTGCAAGCTACCTATTCTCTCAGGGAAACACAATACTAACAGTGGAAACTTTGCCAACAACAACAGAAATGCTACTAAAACTTCAAAGTGAATAGAACTGGTACATTTTATAGGTTTTAGCCAAGTTGGCTAATGAACTGAAGATCTGGAAATGAAGTTAAATGATTACAATGGGTAGACATTTTCCCAGTTGTCAAATAAATTTCTGTAAACCTAGTATAACAATAACACATAGGAACAGGTATTTCCAATACTAATATAAAGAGTCAACAGGCTGAAATGAACGGCTGCACAGGCACCCGTACAGCAGAGTGATAAAACTGTATCTAAAAAGGGTACAAAAAAAAAAAAATAGTTAAGACCCACCCTTTATTACAAAACACATTAAAGCACTGCAACAATCAAAGGTTACAGTCAATTTTTTTTAACTCTTTCACTACTTCTTTTATTTTCTATTATGCTAATACCCCCCACATACACACACAAAAAAGCACCCTCAACCAACTCTTATTGGCAATACAGAAAAAAAGGAAAGAAAACCAGGAATAAAAAACCTGAATCATACCTTGTTACAGATACATTCTGACCTGTGTTGCAGAAAACATTCCAGAGGCCAACTAAAAATAAAGTCAGTTCATACAATGTGCCTAATGAACTGCTTTCCCTTCAAACAAAAAGTAGTTCTGAAAAAAACCCCAAGTAAGGAGTAGCTATATTCAGACCTTCTGAAAAGGTTACTTACTCAAGTTCGCAGTTTAAACAGTTTCCCTTAGCTGAGCAATCTTAGACCTCTGAGGATTACTTTGTCACCTACAAGACGTTCAGAACTGCTCTAAAACGCACTTGCTCCACTACAATGGAACTCAATCTTCAAATGAAAGACTCAAGTCCTGCAGTTATTAATGAGTGTTACATATCAAGACATAAAAATTGTCAATTTCTTATAATTCTACTTGCTGATTAAGAGAGTTCCCTATCTTTTTTAAACAGAAAACATAGACTCCTGCAGTCTTCGAAGTAGCTGCAGTACCCTCACAGGCGAAAACAAGCATTATTCTACTTTGTTTCTCCAGAACATAACATGAAAGGGTCCCCAAAATGACAAACTCTGTAGTAAATCAAGACTTATATAGTATAAATTACCCCAAAATGTCAATGTTTTATGAATACCTGTTTATTAACATTGGCCTTGACCTTAAAATATATCCAGATCAAAAACTGAACACAGCAAGAAGATGCTAAAAACATAAACCTTGTCGTAGTTCCCTCTGCAATATTAGTATTTTTTTTGTTTTAAAAGCAACAAAAAGCCAAATTCCCATAAAATTAATGACCAGATTTAAAGCTTAAACTCTAGAAATTGTGTCTGGAATCTAGCCATAGTCTGAACATGTAACCAATTTCTTTTCACTATTGGAAAAGCAATCATTTAATCAAAAAACCTCCAGAAATTAGAAGCCAACCAATTCCAAAAACCTATAATAATCAGCTCTAAGCATTCTTTTTTTCCAGCTGGGGGTTTCAGAAAGCTCAGTACTTCGAACTTTTCAGCTTTTTCTTGCAATAGTTTGTTAATGTCAACACACAAAGACTACTAACTACAAGATCTAATGCACACCCTGCTTAGTAAGACCTACTGCCTACAGATCAACATGTTCTCCATGTATGTATCAGGTACATCTATGACAGTGATGCAGCTTTATTTCAGCATTTTCAATTCAGTAAATTTTTACACTGCTCACTTAGGTAACAGGCATCTTATTTCTTGTTCTCAGCGTGGGCCTTAATGCAACACAACCACATACCATGTGCATTTCAGTTGGTCACCGTGAGCATGTGTCCAGACAAAAAGTTGACAAATTTAATCTCAAATGATGTAAAATGAAACAAAATTACCACAACTGCCTGCCACTCCTCTCTTCCTCTCCCACAGAAACACTAACTTCTCCACAATATGAGGGTAAACTTCAACATCATTCTGACCCATCATTGCTCCTCACTTTGTGCTAGCTATGGAGGAATCAAGCTTTTTTACATCAAAGCCAATCCTACCCACCTATAGCAAAGAGTGGATAGCAATCAAAAGATGGCCCAGATGGCATAAACATATGCCTTACATAGAATACCATAGTTATGAATAGCTGCCAACCAAGACCTAAAGCAAGGAACCATTATACAGGAGAAAGTAAAAGCCTGCAAAAAGATGTTAGAAGTTCAAAAAATCAGAAGTTTGTCATTATCAAGCAGCACCAATGGGATCAGCATTATTCTAAAAGCTATCAATGACACAAAGGTACTATCTCTAATGTTAAATAAAGTTAATTAGTTTAAATTATAGAAAAATATTTAATAGCAATTCCTCTTCCTAAGCTTTTGGTCTTAAGTCTCAAGCAGCTCTCAAATTCCTTTTCTTCTTCCATGAGATGTTTCAAGATGCTTTATTGTGGCCAACTTCTATAGTGAAGTATTCTACTTTCTGTAAGATAGAAAGTAACAATAATCACTTTGTGTCTTCAAGAAGTGTGTTCAAAGACTTCTATCTGAGCATCTTTTTTGTGTACGGTAATTTCTGGCAGACAATCTTACAAAACCCCATGAATAGAACATGCCAGCTGTTTGCCAGATTCTGCTCTCCTGTGCTTTGCTCTTCTATGAACTGTCAGAACACAGTGAATCATATTTAAGAATCTCACATCACACCTTTTTGGTCTGCAAAGTAAGGAACAGTAGCAAGCAGATCAAAACAGAAGGGAAAAAAAAAAGAGCTAACTTTCGTTAAACCAAAGTAACAGTGCAACTAGGAAATTGTTGTAACTTGTCCCCACCTTCTCCTGTTCCACAGAATCAGGGTTCACGCTTTAAAAAAAATAAAATAAAATAAAATTCCAATTTAACTTTTTTGATAATAAAACTTCAGAGTTAAGATTTCAAAATTATGAAAATTTAAGCTATTAAACACACCCTCCACACCCAAAAAAACACCAACCCCCAAACAAAACAAAATAATAAACAA